CACATTCAGAGCAAGGAAGTCTCACTAGGGCTCTTTTGTGTGAGGTTGTGGGTCACTTGTAATTGGGGACAGGGGGGATAGGCAGACACCTGCCAGTTTGTGACTGAATCCCATCTACTGTGTATTCCTGATGTGATGTTGCATTCCTTCTGCCAGAGAGCTGGAGAAGCAGAGGGAGAACACAGCCAGTGACATCCTGCAGAAGAAGCAGGAGGCTGAAGCTGCGGTGAGTCTTTCTTGTAACTTGGTCCCCCTTAGTGAAAGGAAGCTCTTTTCTGGGCTGTTCTCTTTTGGCCACAGTGTCTGACCGTGCATGATTTCTGCTCTGCCACTTGTGTTGTGACAGGTCCGGTTAATGCAGGAGTCTGTCCGAAGGATAATTGAAGCAGAGGAGGCCAGAATGGGTAAAGATTATGATATCATTTACTTTTTTATATAAATTTGGAGAGAAAAAGAAACAATACAAAGGTGTTGTTTCTTCATTCCCACTCCTGATGAAGTGCAGCGTAGTTGCTGCTGTGCACAGAGTAGGGGAGTCCCACTGTGATTCAGCTCCGTGTGCCTGAGCTTAGGACGTGCTGTGAGGTGGATCAACAGACTGAAGACATCAGTGTGGATTCACCTCTCCACCAAAGAGAGGTGTGTGTATAAATATGTGCAAAAGTTGTAGTCTCAAGGTTAGCTTTCACTGATTTCTCCCTCACATGGGATCAATCCCATTGTTCCTCAATCATAGTGGCAATCTGATCTCTGATGATTACTACCAATCTTCCACAGAGTGTTCCAGAATGAACTGACATCCACTCAGATTGTCACATCAATGTGGCACTGAAGTCCTGTCACTCTATCCTAGTGCTGAAGGTTGTTAACAAACAGCCAAGCAGACATGTTGTTCTGGGTTGAGAAGAGTGGGTCCAGGACAGGAGAATTAAATCTCAGTGAAAGCAAGAGAAAATGCTTGGATGGTCTTTTTGTCAATGTCTGTCCAGCCATGGCAGGAAGCCTTTCACCACAGCTGTGATTTCCTGGGACATGCAGGTCTGATTATAGTGAACGCCTGGTACGGGAAGTTTGTTAACGACAACAGCAGGAAGAATGAGAAGGTGAAGGTAATAGATGTGACTGTGCCCCTGCAGTGCTTGGTGAAGGACTCTAAACTCATCCTTACAGAGGCCTCCAAGGTACGTTCTGTCAAAGCCCAGACTCCATGACTCAAATGTGTGACCCAGAATTTCAGCTGAACCATGTGGTGTCCTGTCAGGGGATCTCTCCAGTGACTCTGGATCAGTTCACAGAAGACATTTACATACCAAGTGTTAGGAACGCCCAGGAACTTCTGTTCCTCTGGGCGTTTCCAGTGCCAAAGAAACAGCATCTCGGTGTCTGCAGACCCTGGGGCGGTACACCAGAAACTTCCCAACCCCCTGGTTTACTGTTATGTATTCAAAACTTGCAGAGGTGATTCCTCAGCATCTCACCTTGCTGGCAGCAAAACTCCTTTTTTTTAATGACAACTTGTCCTGGCACTGATAAATGTTTTTGGCCAGCTGAAGAACTGTGAAAGTCAATTCCCTTATGCTCAGTTTGTCCTTTTCTGGTTCAAGGCTGGGCTGCCAGGCTTCTACGACCCCTGTGTGGGAGAGGAGAAGAGTTTGAAAGTGCTTTATCAGTTCCGAGGAGTTCTGCACCAAGTGATGTCAGCTGACAACGAGGCCCTTAGGATACCAAAGCAATGTAAGTAGCATGGACTACCCAGCTTCTTCCTTTGGGAACCGAAACGATTGCTTCAGCTCTGTGGTGAAGCACACGGAACTGGGGTTCTGGGGCTCAGAACGGGTTACTGGAATGGACTGACCATGACATGCCTCTGCAGCAAGGCCCAAAAGAGCTCTGCAGAAGCTCTGCAGCTGCTTGTACCAGCTAGTCTTTAACTGGGGTTGGAAGCAGAAGCCTCCCACAGGTGCCAGTGTCCCTCCAGACACTTCACAGCACTGGGTGACCCTTTGGGGACTGAATTGAATGTATGGAGGCATGTTGGAGGCCTGAGCCGGATTTCTTCTTTATCCCCATTTGTCTTACTTGCCAAAACATCTTCCCTGCTGCAATAACTCTGTGAAACCAGTATCTGCTTGTGCCAAGTTCTGCTGTCACCTCTGTGGGTCTGGCAGGTTGGATCAAGGGCACAGACCTCTGTTTGCTCTAGGTCAGCTCCCTGGCCAGTGTGAGCAGCACATCCAGCTGACAGAGCTTCCAGAAGTGCCTTGGGAGGTGTATATGAGTCATGTTTAATTAGCAGCCAGAAATGCTCCTGCCTGTCCCTGGTACGGTGGTGGGTTCTAGCATGTGTCCATTCCTTGTTCTCCCTGACAGCTCACAGGATTGATGCCGATGGCTAATCCAGGAGCGCGTCTGCCACGGTACCTGGGTCAATGGAAACTGCACAACCTCCCCCGGACGCTGCAAGTTTGAACAGAGACACTTTTATTTTTACTGTCCATGTAGCAGGTGGTGTCCTGCTGATTCTTTTAGGGACAAAAGGAGAGACCCTGCTGCTCCAGGCAGCTTCAAGGCAATATTGTGGCTTGGTACTCAATAAAGCAGCGTGACTCTGAGTGCACAGTGCTTTCTGCCCAGAGGGCTGAGCAGGTGCCCTCCTGCCAGCTGGCCATGGCCCCTTCGTGCGCTCACACATACCTCCTGGCACTGAGCAGGGATGAAAACCTGTTGTTCTCACTTCTCCACATACTTCCTGAGGCAGGTAACACACCTTTTCCTACTCCTGAGGGGAATTTCAGTTCTCGGGCCACCTCCTGGAAGTCCCCTGTGCAAAGCCTTTTTGTTGGAAAGAGGTCAGAGATTGTTTCCATCTCAAATCTGTGTTTGAAATGCACTTGTTAAGCACACACTTTTGTTAAGTATGAAGTTCTTTGCCTTTTACAGTAACATTGACCTCTTCAGCAACAGTCTGTCCAGTTGGTTATTTTCAACACTGCTATTCCAGACAAGGACATGGGGTATCATAGTCTTACTAATTCTTCTGCCACCCACATCCATGTATCATCAAGGTTTTCAGAAAAATAGGAGAGCTAGTAAGAAGGACAGCAATTCATTTCATTTGATTCTGATGCTGCAACTATCTCTTCCCATCTAATTTATTTCTAGGAAAAACAAATGTAGTTCATGTAAGTAAACCAGACCAAAGTGAGGAGAGAGGCCAAATGGATAGAACTGAAAACATAACATTCAGCTGCCCTTTCTAAAAAGCAGTGGTTATGGCATAAATCCATTGGATTTATCTTGCCTAGAAGCCCTGCCAGGGATTTCCATCAGAAGAACAGTCCCAGGCTGGTGACACAGTAGCTGAAAACGGCACCTTGTAGAACCTGCTACACACTGGGCACGTCAGCACCACCAAGGCTTTCACAGAGAGACAAGGAATCCTTGTTCCTTGGTCACAGTTCTGCTCCAGGTGAGTGTAGACCAGCCTTCACTGCTCACTGGTGAGAGCAGAGGGGAAAACACCCATGTCTTGGCAGTGCAGAGATGCTCTTGACAACTTCTGCCATAACTCCTTTCCTGACATGGGCCTGGCCCCTGTTCTGGGCAGCTTTGGTTCTCTGTGGTCAGATCACTGCAACAGGAGAACTAGATTTCCAAAAGTAGACTTGTTTGAGTCCATCTGAAAGAGATGCTCCCTTCTCTAAAAAACAAGTTCATACTCTGAAGCGGTGTTCATTTGTTTTTTATTGAAACCAAAACTCTTCATTTGTGACCAGCTCCTGGTGCAGGGCTTTATTTCACTTACAACCAGTGTCCTGCTGATCTGAAATTAAATGTAAAATGTGCAATAAATTATATTCAGCTGAAAAGCAGCTCCCATTCCCTTTGCATCTGTAGAAGACTCCTGAAAATAAACACCTGGAAAGCAAGGGTTGCAGGTTTTGTAAACATAACAGCACACTCCATCCTATCCAGCTCATTGACTGCTTCTGGTCACTGCCGGGTGGGACTTGAGGGACTGGGCAGAAATCTCTACCCGAAGTTCCCTTCTCATGACTTTTCACTGTGTGTGCTGTATGGTCAGGAGCACGAGCCAGGCTGCAGGGACTAGGACATGGCAGAGTACTCCCAGGAGAGCATCCCTGGGAGCCAGTTGCTGGGTCAGTCTTGCCAGCCCACCTACTACTTTCTTGTTTTCTGTCAGTGGCAAGTTTTGCCAAGACTGTAAGAACAGCCCCACTGTGGAACCACATTCCTGCTGTGAGCAGCTGCCATTTTACAGCCACAACTCCCTGGGACTTGTTTTTATCACTCTGTATAATTAAAAATTACCCACAGAATTAAAATAGAAGCTATAAGCCATGAGAGTTTAGCTTCCAGTATGACCTAGTGCCACTTCCCTAAGGTTGAGCCACCTTTTCAGTTGGGCAAGATGTTAAGGCTGCTGCTTTGATGGCAGCTGGCTGAGCAGCAGTGCCTGCAGAGTCATGGCACATACAGGAGCTGCAGGGTGGCACCAGGGCTTAGGCAGCCCTTGGTTGGGTTGGGGTCCTCTGGCAGTAAGGGAGGGAAGGAGGGAGCTCTCCTTCGGCACAGCTCCAGCAGGGTTCACAAGGGGTTGGTTTGGGTCTGGCCAAGCAGCCAGTCCTCTCACAAGGCAGATGCAGTGCAGCCCCCAGGGTTTTTTCCAGGGCTCCAGGGACCTGTTCTCTCAGCAGAGGCTGGCAAGGAGCGGCTGCTCTGGAGAAAAGTGGGAATACCTGCCTTTATGTCCTATCCCTGCCTGACTGCTCTTCCTTAGGGAAGAGCATTTGAAGCATCACATCTTGTTGCTGCGTGGCACAACAGCACACACACCAGTAAATCATAACAGCAGACTCCCGAGTTTGGAGTAAAACAAACTCATTGTTCACTTATTTCACATATAAGAAAAAAACATGGTTCATTAAAAGTTTTAATGAAAAAATAAAGTTCTGAATTAAACTATAATTATACATGGCTGAAAGTGATGAACTAAAAGAATGGAGATGTTACTTTTTTATTTCTTTCTGCTGATATTGTAATGTGCTGGACTTGTCAAGACACCATCCACTAGGATAAATCTGAAAAGGGAACAGAACAAGAGTCAGTCACATTGATTAATGTTGAACCTCTGTAAAAAAGAGCCAGTTCACTTGGCAGTGCACCATTTCTCCCTTAAAAGCTTCACGAACGCGCTCCATGGAGGTCCAGTTGAACTGCGACATGCTGTAAACACAGAGATGCTGATTTCAGAGCAGGTCCAACCCTTGTGCAGTAGCAGCTGGGACCTTCCTAAGCCTTTCCAGTTGCAGAGTAAAATGGCAGCATTGGAGTGCTTTGGTTATTTTTCTGGCTGCAAAGAACAGTCAGGCAGCAGTCAGGGGCAAGTCTTTGGCAAACTCCTTGGTGGTTCCATGTAGCTTCTGAAGGTGGCACAGCATGGTCACGGTCTTGAGATTTCACAGAAGCTGGAGCTGGTTTTCTGAACCCAAAGTCAGCTGTAGCAGCTTTGTGGAATAGGATTTTTATCAAGAAGCAGGACAGAACAGTTGCAAGTCATGCAGCCCCATTGCCCTGACCTCTTGTGCCCCCATGTCCCACGCCATGGAGCCCCAGCACACCATGGAGCCCCAGGACCCCATGGCACTGGGCTGCCTGAGGCTTTGGCAGTTCCAGAAGGCATGTCTGAAGGAGGGCACCTGACCCTGTGTCCTGGCAAGACCCTCAGTCATCACCAGGGCACATGTCCCAGCAAGCTAGTCCTCAGACAAAGCAGTGCTCCAATGCTGTGACTGCAGAACTCGGGACACGTTCCTGCTGGCACAGCTGGTCTGGCTGTGGCACCTGCCAGTGTCTCCCCGAGCCTCCTGGTCTCCCTGGACAGAGCGTACACTATTCCCCAGGCATAATTTCAGAGAAATACCTTGAAACATCAACCCAATCTGTGTGACCCATGTAGATGCGTCTGCTCATCGAGGAACACCACCAGCACCTCCCTGGCCTTGTGTATGAGCTGTGACTCCCCAACCATGGTTCTGGAGGGATTTCCCTTGGGCTGAGGCTGGCTGGGGCCTTAGCTCTCCTGTCCACCCCGCACTGGATGGATCCTCATTGCACTTCACCCTGTAGCTGCATCACCTGCATTCGCTTTGAGCTGTGTCATTGCTACCAGTAGGTTAAAGGTTCTGGCTTTTTGGTTATAGTCCAGTCTCAAAAAACAGTGAAAACACAAATCAACTCAGCTGTTGTACTTGGATGGACATGATCAAATCCCAACCAGACCTGCCAGGTTCTATATTTACTTTAGCCCATTTTAAAGTCCATGTTAGAATTCTGGGCTGAGAAGAGGGAGAGTCATCATCTTAAAACAGCCCTGCAGAGGTTAACAAAGGGACAGGAAACGGAGCTGTTTCCCTCCATACACACATTTGAGCCGATCATGCAAATAAAATCATGAAAAATCACTATGAAGAGAGACCTTGTAGGGAAGAATCCGATGCCACTGATCGCCCACACTGCCTGTCCAGGAAAAGGGTTGCCCTTTCCTGCCAGGGCGCTGGCCCTTGGCACAGGAGGGAACCCCAAGTCCCATTTGCACTTGGACAATGCCAAATCGCAGAACTCCCATATTCCCAAGCCTGTGGAAGTGGCAGCAGATCTCACAGAGGCTGATGCTGACTCCTACAGAGCCTTAGGGTATCTAAGATTGATCTATATGGAAAAATGGGCAGGTATAATATTTCACTGAATTTAAAACACAGGGCCATTTACTTTTCAGACTCTTCACATAGACTTACTCCTCCTCCCCTCCCTCTTTGGAGGAGGAGTTTCCTAGCACAGAGATCTGCAGTTTCCCGATGGGATGAGAAAACCTGTATGGCAAAGGTATTTTACATTCCCCAGACATCACCCAGTCATCGTAACCGGACAAAACTCCACCGAGCTCAGAGAGCTTCATCTGTCCTCAAGACAGTCGGTATCTCGCCGCAGTTCTGACCAGTTGGTCTCTCCCAGCCCCAGCTGCCCGCAGCTCGGCGATTCTTCGTCCCTGTGCCGCGGGCCAGCTGGGCAGCTCTCCCGCCCGAGCAGCAGCAGTTTGGGGAGGCCCTTCCCGGCCTCCCAGCCAGCACCCACGGCTCGCCCGCCCGTGCAGCGCACCAGCACGCGCCTCCCCCCTAGTCCAGAAAGCGCCTGCGCGAGCCCGTCCGGGAGCGGTTTGAACGGCGAATGTCAAACTTGGAGTCCCGGCACTTCTGGCAGATGTAGATCTCTGGGACATTTGACTTGCGGATTTTGGCGCAGGAGAGGTGGATCCAGGTGTGGCACTCGTTACACTCGATCATCGGCCGCCCAGCGAAAGGCTTCATGCAGAAGCAAGTGACCAGGTCCCACGAGTCATCATCTGCAAAGACAAAGAGCAAAACCACATTTTTTAGTGGTCGAGCCTTCTCATCCACACTGGGAATTTTCTCTCCTTTTGTGCTAAATTAACCACCTGGGCTTCAAAGACAGGCACTTTGCTGCTTTTTCCAGGTCTCCCTTGCATGGGAAGAGACTCTCAGCAGTACATGGGAGGCCAAAATGTAGGAGAGGAGAACAAACTGGTTCTGTAAAGTCACAGCTTTTTACTCAGTTTACTGCACAAGGAGCCAATCCCCCCCTTTCCACCACAAACCTAACTGCTCCTAAATTCCGCCTAGGCAGCACTCCTCAGCATTATACTCATGCTACAAGCAAAGTACCAAAGAGATCAGCAACAGCACCACCACTTCCACCTGGCTGATCCTCTTGGACAGCCAGGCCACCTACCCGAATCCACCATGATGTCCTCATCATCAGCAATGCCGTCCTCATCCCGAAAGACCACCTGCTTGCCCTGCCGAATGACCGTTCGTTTGCCCACACTCTGGATCTCCACCGTCTGCTCGGTTGTCACAGCGGGGTAGGAGACAGTGGACGGGGTGTCAGAGTCCCACACCGAGCAGTGCTCGGTCACAGACTGAGGGTCACCCTCTGATGAGGGGCTCATTGGTGTCTCTGCATAAGAGTCCTCTGCCTCCAGCTCTAGCAGCTTCTCCTCATAGTCCTCCTCTGCAGACACCTCTGTTTCCCTCCTTTTCAGCTTTTTCTTCTTCCTGATCTTATCGATTTGTTTTCGCTCCGGCAGGAAGTTGCTGGCCTTTGCCCGCTGGAACAGGGAACCGTACGGTTTTGCTCGTTTAAGCTGACTGAAATTCTTTCTGTTCTTGGTGGGCAGGGAAACAGAGGAGGGGGTGTCATTGAAGCGGGGATCCCAGCTATCGCTGTCAATCGTGCCTCCAGTGCTGTTGGGAGGGCTGGGGCTGTTCCTCAGTGGCGTTTCCTGGAACACGTCGAGGAAGCAGGTACAGCATTGACTCAGAACAGACTTGCGTGCGACTCAAGGCGCTGCACCCTGTCCCCAAGGCGCTGTCCCCTATCCCCCGAAGCGCTGTCCCCAAGGCGCTGTTGCTCCTGCTCTCCCCACGCGCCGCCCCGGGAATCTCCGGCCGGAGCGCCCGGGGAGCCGCGGGAGTGATGCCGGATCCGACGTTTTTCACCCCGCCCACGCCAGCCACCCTCCGCCCCGTCCCCAGAGCCTCCAGCCGCCGCGGTTCCCCTTTTGTTCCGGCCCGGCGCGGGGCCGTGACCGCTGGAGCAGCTGCTCTGAGACCATCCCAGCGTCCCCCCCGGTGCCCCCCAGAGCCCCCCGGTGCAACTCACCTCCTGCGGATACGGGATGTAGCCGGCGTAGGCCAGGACAAAGGTGCAGAACTTGTTGAAGTCCTCCACGGTACGGTGCCGCCGGGAGCCGGGGGAGAAGTCCTGCGGGGAGCGGGGGTGAGCGGCGGCCGCGGGGCCGGGACCACCGGAGGGAGGAGGGCGCTGCCGTTCCCGCCCGCGCCGGCGGAACCGGGCAGCGCCCACCCCTCATCGCCCCCGGTGTCGGTACCGGGCTCCCAGGCAGCCCCCCCCGCGGCGGGCACGGCGGGGCGGCGCCGCCGCCATTCCTCGCCCCGGCGGCACAGGATGGCCACGACCCCGGCCCCGCGGTGGGGAGTGGGCAGCGGCTGCGGGGGCCGGGCCGGGCCGGGCCGGGCGGCGGGAGAGGCTCCCACTCCCCCTCCCCCCTTTTCTGGTCCCCTCCCCTCTCGTGCCCCCGGGGCCCCGGCTCACCTCCGGGGCAAACGGCGAGGCGCAGGAGTCGGAGTCCATGTCCCGGCGCGGGGGCGCGGGCGGGGCCGGTGCGGCGGCGGGGAGTGCCGACACCGCGAGCCGCTCGGTGCCGGCGGGAGGCGGGGAAGGGGCGGCCGCCCGCGCGGGGCCGCCGGGAGCCGTAGTCGGGCGTGCGCAGTGCCGGGCGCGGGGCGCGCCGGGAGCGCCGAGGGGCGGGGGCGGCGCCGGGAGCGGCGAACGGAGCGGGGAGCAGGGCGAAGAGCGGAGCAGTGAGCGGGGCTTGAGGGCGCCGGGGCGGTTCTTACTGGGTGGCTGCGGGCGGGGGGTGGCGGTTCTGTGCTCACCGCGGGGCCCGACTGGTGTCGGCGACGAGCCGGCGGCCTCGGGATGGGCCGGGCAGGGCCCTTCCGCCCGTTGTAACGGCGGCGCCCGGAGCCGCACTCAGAGCGGGGCTCCGGCAGTGCCGCCCGCTCTCGGGGCCGCCCCGCTGCCGTCGGGCTGCTCCCGCTGGGGGCCAGCCCGGGGCTGAGGGGGCGGAGCTGGGCGGGTGTGCTGCGGAGCTGCGGGACCCCGGGACCGGCCCAAGCGGGGGCGCGCTGTAGGGGCCGGCTCCGCGTTACGCAGCGGCTGCTCCCGGGGGTTGTCGGCCAGGACCGGCACGGGACGGGCTCCGCGAGCCCACCCGCCGCCTCCTTCCCTAGTTTGCCTTTCCCGCCCCGGGAGCCTCTCGGGGATCGGTCCCAGCGACTCCGCGCTGACCCGGGTGTGCTCCCCCCAGGCACGGCATGGCGACCGGCGCGGGCACCGGCGGGACGGCGGCGGCCTCGGCGGCGGGAGAACCGGCGCACGCGGTGTCGCTGCTGCGGGGTCTGAGCGCGCTGAGGGCTGAGCGGAGCCTGCTGGACGTGACGGTGGTGGCCGGCGGGCGGGAGTTCGGGGCTCACCGCGCCGTCCTGGCCGCAGCCTCGGGATATTTCCGCGCCATGTTCGGCGGAGCACTGCGCGAGGCGCGGGCCGAGCGAGTGCGGCTGCACGGCGTGGAGCCCGAGTGCCTGGCGCGGCTGCTCGACTTCGCGTACACCGGCCGCGTGGGCCGGCTGGGCCCCGACATCGCCGAGCGCCTGCTGCGCGCCGCCGACCTGCTGCAGTTTCCCACCGTCAAGGAGGCCTGCGGCGCCTGGCTGGCACGGCAGCTGGAGCCCGCCAACGCCCTGGACATGCAGGACTTCGCCGAAGCCTTTGCGTGCCCGGCACTGGCGGCTGCTGCCCACCGCTTTGTGCTGCGGCACGTGGGTGAGCTGGGCGCCCAGCTGGAGCGGCTGCCGCTGCCGCGCCTCCTGTCCTACCTGCGGGACGACGGGCTCTGCGTCCCCAAGGAGGAGGCTGCCTTCCAGCTGGCACTGCGCTGGGTGCGTGCTGACCCTGCCACCCGTGCCCCGCTGCTACCCCAGCTCCTGGCCCACGTCCGCCTGCCCTTCGTGCGCCGCTTCTACCTGCTGGCCCACGTGGAGAGCGAGCCGCTGGTGGCCCGCTGCCCACCCTGCCTGCGCCTCCTGCGTGAGGCCCGCGACTTCCAGGCTGCCCGCCTCGACCGCCACGACCGGGGGCCTTGCGCCCGCATGCGCCCCCGGCCCTCCACCGGCCTCGCCGAGATCCTTGTCCTTGTTGGCGGCTGCGACCGGGACTGTGATGAGCTCGTCACCGTCGACTGCTACAACCCGCGCACCGGCCACTGGCGCTACTTGGCCGAGTTCCCTGAGCACCTGGGTGGGGGCTACAGTGTTGCTGCGCTGGGCAACGACATCTATGTCACTGGTAAGGTATATGGGGTGTGAGGGTACCTTTTAGGGTGCAGATTTCTCTTGAAAATATGTGGGTTCTAGCAGTGAGACTTGGCTTTTCCTGGGAAGCAGAGAGTTTGGTCTCAGCTTGGGTGTCTGCAGCCTGCTTGGCAGGCATGGAGACTTCTGGAGTTGGTGCTGGATTTAGCAGCTGGTCTCAGTCCAGGAGCTATTTTGTCATGACTAATGCTGCTGAGCACGTGGGCAGAAGTCACAGATCTTGCAGTTAGAATGTTTTAACTGTCATTCTGGGATACATGGGTTACTTAAGGAGGGTTTTGAGTTTCTCTCTGTGAAGAAGGTGTTTGGGTTCAGAGCCCTGTGAATCACAAGCCAGGCCATGTGCTTGAGGCATAGGTGTGTCAGAAAGCCCTGGGTTTCTCAGCCAGCCCCCGTGAGTCACAGTACCTTCCTCAGCACAAATCCTGCCTCCTTGCAGTCCACTGGGGCCGCAATTACTTCTGTCAAGGTGACACCAGTGTATAAATTCGGCTGTTAATCTGCATGCAGAGGCCTCCTTTGAGCTACATTCCCATAGCTGAAGTGGTAGCCCTGCACCAGCTGTAACAAACCCAGGAAACCAGGCACTGTGGAGCAGCGTGCCCTGGGTGTGCAGGACGCGCTGGCATAGTTTTGAAGGGCAGGTCTTATACAGTTGATCAGAAAACTCTTGTGTTCTTTAGTCACAAGCAGAAAACAAGGCTCTTCTTTAAGGGCAGGGTTGTAAAAATGGTTTGTTTGGTACAGATGCCCTTATGTTTCTTGGGAGCTTGCTGGAGCAATCCCCGGTGGGTCTGTGGAGGCCAATCTTGCCAGGAGCCATGTGCGAGGCCACTGCTGGGGACCTTGGGTCGTTCTGCTTAGTGTCAGTGTGTTGCAGGCAGGGCCAGGAGGTTCCCAAGCTGCCATTGGTGCCGCTGCCTCAGCAACTTCTGGGCAGCAATGGAGCAGGGACCGCAAAATGGGAGAGAAGTGGGAATTTAGAGGATGGAGGTGGTGAAACTTGGGAGACTTGTTTTGATTCGTGGCTGAGTATGGACTAGGGAGGACATGGAAGAAATTTTTTCTGGCTTGCTGGAAACAGTGCAAAACTTGCAGGAAAATTCTCATGGCACACACTAGTGTCGCCCCCCCAGAACCAAAATGCTGCCCCATTGTACAGCCCCGGGGCAGCAGCAGGGGGCTGTATGGGAAGGTGTAGCTGGAGCTGTAGCGAAGGCGGTGGTGCAGAGCCCCACTCTGACACGTGTCGTGCTGTGCCGCAGGGGGCTCAGATGGGTCCAGGCTGTACGACTGCGTCTGGAGGTACAATTCCAGTGTGAATGAGTGGACGGAGGTGTCGCCCATGCTGAAAGCCAGGGAATACCACAGCTCCACAGTCCTGGATGGGCTGCTCTACGTCGTTGCCTCTGACAGCACAGAGCGCTATGACCACACACTGGACAGCTGGGAAGCCCTTCAGCCCATGCTGTACCCCATGGACAACTGCTCCACCACCTCGTGCCGCGGGAAGCTGTTCGCCATCGGCTCCCTGGCTGGAAAAGAGTCCATGGTCATGCAGTGCTACGACCCCGACAGTGACCTCTGGTCCCTTGTCAACTGCGGCCACCTGCCCCCCTGGTCCTTCGCCCCAAAGACGGTCACGCTCAACGGCCTCATGTACTTCATAAGGTGAGTAGTGGGAGCCATCACCTCCCTCCCATGTCCCCTTGGGAAGGGTCCAGAGCTTCCCTGAGAAGGTGTGTGGAATTTTGGAGGTATTGGAGGGATGGCACTGGGTTGGGACAGCACAGCAGTGCTTCCCCTGATGGTGGTGGTGGGGCTACCCTTAAAATTGTGTAAAAATGTCTGAGTGTAACCTCGGGTTGGGGAACAGCCAGGTGTAAATCTGGCTGAAGTCAGCAGCACTGCTTGGAAATTGGCTTCTCAGATTCCTTGGCTCCTGGTTCAGCCCCCCTCGCTGCTATAAATAAGCACATAAGCTCCAAGAAAACATTAAACTGTAGCGCAGGAGAGGACATCTTCCGTCTCAGCAGCGATAAGAAGGCTGAAGATGAAGTGATTGGTCACTATTTTTAAGTGCCTTTCCAAACTGGGACTTAATTACCCATCTGAAGCTGTCCTGGTGGCGCAAATACTTCAGTTATCCGCTTAATTAAAAATAAACGGGAAAGCATGCTAGGGCTGGAGCATTTCATCTCCCTCCCTGTGTTGACTCTGAGCAAACAGAGACTTCTGTGAGAGCCTCCAGCCCTCTTCTTTTTTTTAATCTCCTCTTGGCTTTGCATAAAGCAGCAGCTTTGGCCCAAGACCTTTTATCTGATCCCTGAGTGTCTTGCTGGCATCTGTTGAAGTCACCTGGTTTCAGTCCATCCTGCCGGGGTGTTGCAGCTGTTCAGCTCTTTGTCACAAGCTGATTCTATAGAATTTCCTTTTTCTTGTCCATTTTAAAATACCGATGGTTGACACTTCAGGATTTCGGATTGCTTGTGCATCTGCAGGAGTCAGCGAGGAGATGATCGGGGTCAGGTTTCTCCCCTCATTTCGTGTGCTGTGCATGGGCTGCTGCTCCATGTAGAACTGTGGGATAATCTTTGGAGGGCAGAGGAATAGGTGACAAGTAAAAGTGGCAAATTCAACTTTTGGGTTTGTTCTAATAGCTTAGATTAAAGCCTCTGAGTGATGATCCCTTTGTGCTGGGACTGGTTTTATGCCAGTAAATGTAGCATAGCAGTGAGGCTCGGGCATTCTCTGCAGCCACCCTAGAGCCGATCTGGAGCCGGCCCTGCCTGGAGCTGCCTCACAGCCTCTTGATTCCGTCTGTACCAGAACTGTCTTGGAAGGACTGACAGCTCCTCTTCAGCTGCCCTGACCTTGTCCTCCTCACATTCTTGTGTCAGTGTCTCTGTGTCGCAAACGCCCCTCACCTGTCACTGTCGCCCTCCTGTCTGGCAAGTGGGGTGGGTGAGAGAAGCCTTGGGGGATTATGATGCCCCTCTAGCTCTTCTCTCATCCCACCCACCTAAATTTGGCATTGGTGAAGAACTCAAGCGGAGTTTCTAGAATGCAGAAGAGTAATTTTGTGTTCTCTTCCCCAGAGACGACTCGGCTGAAGTGGATGTTTACAATCCAGCAAAGAATGAATGGGATAAAATCCCTGCCATGCTTCAGGTAGGACATTTGCCATCCTCCGGGGTGCCTTAAGCGTTACAAATGGGTTTCATTTACCTTTGGAAGATGAAGAGCTCTTTAGATCAGAACCCCTTGCATATGGAGGGAGTCATTGGGAAAACAAAGTCCTGGATGTGGCAGCATGTCTGAGTGTTCAGCCCAGCACAGGAGAGCTGTGGGCAGTGCTGGTTCAGAGCCTGAGCTGCCGCTGGCGGGCATGGAGCCTCCTCCAAGGAACAGCTGCCAGACCGCACCGACCCCCTTGATCTGCTGCCAGACGGGGCAAACACCCCTGATGGTGGTGTGTATTTATTGTTACTTTGCAGGTTCATGTTGGGGGAAGTGTGGCCGTGCTTGGTGGGAAGCTCTACGTCTCCGGGGGCTATGATAACACGTTTGAACTCTCGGATGTCCTGGAAGCCTATGACCCAGAGACACGAATGTGGAGCGTGGTGGGCCGGCTCCCTGAGCCCATCTTCTGGCATGGCAGTGTCAGCATATTCCGGCAGTTCATGCCAGAAGCCCCACAGGAGGATGACAGCATCACGCTGGACAACACCATCAGCTTGAGCAGGCAGAACCAAAACCTTCACAACCAGAACCTCAATGAGCTGCCTTAGCAGAGGAAGCGGCTTGACATAAGTCCCTCATCCAGAACCTGGGCTGCTTCGGAAGAAGGCTGAGGCAAACCAGTGCTTGGAAACAAAACCGTACTGATCACAGAGGGATGAGAACTCTGGCTGTTGGATGTGCTGCTCTGTGACCGCAGGCAGGGAGGCCTCTGCTGCCTCCCTCAGCCCTTTGCTGCCCGCAGGGACCCAAGAGCTGATCCCTGGGGAGAACGATCGCACTGACCCGCGCCACAGCACCACCACTTACAGCTTGTGACCAGACACCTTTCACTGGGAGCTCCTTCACCCCATAATACTTTGTTTGCCACCCAACTGCTTCCTTCAGTTTCTTTTTTGGGAGGGGTCTGTCTGGTAAGACAGTGGTCTGGACTTCCCCCCCCCTATTCTGTGCCTCAGAGGGAGACAGGCTTTCTGTGCACGTGTTGCGATTGAAAGGTAGTTATTTTAGAGGTTTTTTTCTTCTTTCTGTTTGGAGTTTGCTTATTTTTTGACCTGTGTAAGATTTGCCTTTTTACTTGCCCAAGTGCCCTGGCCAGGTGGGCTGTTTATCTACATTTGCTGAAGATCAGCTGCGTGGTTTATTTGTGAAATGTTTCTGGAACAAGCAGAGGCCAAACCTGTGGCACAGCTCCCCAAGAGTGAGTGTCACATCTTCAGGAGAACCTTGAAGCGTGACAGCAGTTCAGGTGTGGCTGGATGCATTTGCTTTTTTGGTCTTTTATCTTTAACCAATAGAGGAAAAGTCTGTATTTAAAATGAATTCAGAGATGGAAACCCCACATATTCTTATCGCTGCACTCCTCAGCCATGGGGAACCCGTGCTGTTCTCCAGTCTGGAACACTGACAGTGCCTTGAGACCACCACGCCGGGGTGCAGCCTGTGGGCCGAGCCTGGCAGGGGGGCCAGCAGTGGGCCTGCAGTTCGGGGCAGCTGCTGCTTTTCTGGTAGCAGCCTGTCTGTGCCGTGCTGTGCCTGTGGAGAGCCAGACAGCGCTGCAGCCCGAGGTATTTCTGCTGAGCTATAAATAGTGCACACGGCCGTGCTCGCTGCTGGACCCCCAACCCCACCCGCTGAGCAGCTACAGATACATATTTATTTTTTGTAGAATTCATTGTGTTGAATCCTCCAGTACAGTTGAACTCCATCCTTTGAAACAAAGGCATTTTACATTTGCAGATTGTATTTTTATTCTCAGTTTGTTTTTAAATTTACTTGCAGCTGTCAAGTTAAATAAAACCTGTTAACAGTTCTATTGTCTGTGAAGGGAAAGGGCCTGGAGTGAAGTTTTAGTGGGACTGTCTCATGCTGGGTATGCTTAAAACAGAGCCTCTCTGCCTCCTTGGTGAGTAGAAGGGGAAAGGGGAAAGAGCACAGCTGAGACTCTAGGGGTGAGGGTACACATAGGGATCTCCCCCACCCTGGCACCACTCAGAAAATGGTTATAACTCCCCCAGCAACCCTGAATCATGTTTTCTGGGACAGAGATAAGTCCCTACCCCTGAGCACAGGAGCTCAGGCACTGTGTGGCTGCTGAAGTGAGTTTCAAGTGAACTTGAAGCTCCATTATCTCAATGCTGAGCAGACACAGGTCCTGCCCCACCTTTAATGGGGGAAAGAAAGAGCAACTGACAGAAGCTTCACAAAATAAAGAAGAAATAAGGCACAAGTTTAAAGGAGAAAACAGCATTAAAGAAAAGGGCAGAGCTGCTCTCTCTGGGGGAAGTTGAGCTTTAATCTTTAATCAGGAGCAGGTTAAGAGGGCTGGGGGAAAGGGGCTCCCACTGCACCAGCTCCTCCGGTGTCAGAAAGTGATTCACAGTATGACACAAGCAGGTCAGTCCAATTCCCCTGCTTGGACACTGACTGTTTTGCACTGTTTCTTCATTTGACAGTCAATCGTATCATCATGGTGACTTCCCTGTAGTATGGGGGGAAGAGACTCACAGGGAAGAAGGGGAGGGGGCGGGTGCACAACTCGAAAGAACAAGTGTGGCAGAGATTGGCTCAGCCCAACACTTTATTGTGTTTCAGTGGAAGGGTGGCTGCATTATGTCTCACAGTCTTCAGGAATCGTTGTCGTTATAATCAGAGATTGCTCAATCACGTCCGCCGTGGAGAAGTTCTCATTAGAGCACAGTCTCTGCGCCGGAACCTCCTCAGGCAGTGACCCGTGGGCCAGTGACTCCACAATCACCTCGGCTGAGCCCACCTCCAGCTCTGGGGGCGGCTGCAGCACCACCATCACATCCTTCTCATCCTCGATGACCAAGTTCCTCAGCTTCCGCTGCCGTGGGTTGTAGTTCTCCACGCGGTCGTGGATCTCCATGTGGCGCCTCAAGTGAGCCTGTGAAAGAGACACACAGAGGGGCCCGGTGAGGGCCAGCTCCCTGGCACAGCCCAGAGACCCCAGAGCTGGGGAAGGCCTCACCTGCCGCGTGAACTTGTAGCCACACTCGGTGCACTCAAACTTCCTCACGCCCTTGTGCCGGCGGATATGGACACGCAGCTGTTCCACTGCTGGGAAGGGAAGTGAGAGCCTGTGGGCAGCAGCTCCACACTGTACATGCTCACAGTGATGCCAAGCTGCCCGTGGGAAGGAGGCGGCTCCTGCAGAGCCCTGCAAAAGCCAGAGCCCCAGCGTTACCTTTGAACGTCTTCCCGCAGATGTGGCAGAAGTGGGGCCGCCCCTCCTGGTGCCGGCTGGCGATGTGTCTCAGCAGCGGCCCCTTCTCCGTGAAACGCTGCTCGCAGAACTCACAGCTGAATGGCCGCTCACCGGTGTGTGTCCGGTTGTGCTTGTCCAGACTTGCTGCCATTATCAGGGGAGAGAAGGGGAGCGCAGCCAGTCAGTGGCATGGCACGTGCTCCCCATCCCAGCGACTGGGCCAGAAAGGCAAGTGCAGGATAAGCTTCAAGGGTCATGGGAAACACCAGCTTGTTCCCCTTCTGTGCCATGAGGGCAGTGGAGGTGACCTGGTGTCAGTCTGCACTCACAAGAGCATGGCTTTGCTCCTGGGGAAGCTGCTTTCTGGAGGCCCTGGATGCCAGAGCATGGCACTTGGCATAACCTGCCCCAGCAGCACCCAATGGTACCTTGTGTCCGGAAGGTCTTGCCGCAGAGGTGGCACTGGAAGGGCTTCTCGCCAGTGTGAGTGCGCAGGTGCATGTTGAGATTGGCTTTCTGCGTGAAGGCGTGGTGGCAGAACTCGCACACATAGGGCCGCTCGTTTCTGTGGGCAGCGAAAAGTCACCATCACCTTTCCCTCCACCGGCTTCAGCCCCTCGGGTCTCAGCCCAGCACCTCCGGAAAGGGAGCACTCCCTTCAGCCAACCCCCAGTCCTACAGGGGAGGGAGCACAGCTAGAAGAGCCAGGGTGACGTAAGGGAGGACACAGGTCACATCATACCTGTGCTTGGCCTTGATGTGCATCTGCAGGCCATTGCGGCTCGAGGCCCTGTGCCCACACTCCTCACACACAAACAGCTTCTCTCCGCGGTGTTTGAAGGCCTCGTGCAGGCGCAGCTCTGTCCGGGACAGAAAGCACTTGGAGCAGGTTGAGCACTGCAAGGCCACAGGAAAGGGGGGTTAGGGTAGACCCACACCAGACCCATTTGTGCCCAACATCTGGCACTCCTCTGGCTGCTCCAGGGCCCTTCCCACAGCAGCCACAGCTCAGAGACACCCAGTAAGATGGGACAGCCCAAAAGAGGCAAAATGCTGGTCAGTGCTTGGGTCTATCAGCTGCTCCTGTACATAAAAAAGCCTGTTTCCAGCAGCTCTGTGTCCCCCTGCCTCACTAAGAGCCATACAGGCCACGGGCACTATTCCCTAGGTCAGGTGTGTGTGCAGGATCACACCCTCCCCAATATCCTGGTCCCTACCGCGTGGGGCTTGGGTGCGCCGTGCAGCTTTATCATGTGGCTCTGCAGATCCTTCTTCTGCATGAACTGCTGCGAGCACGAGGAGCACTGCAAGAAAGGAGAGGGAGATCAGTTGCCCCCAAAGAGTAGTTTCAGAGCAAGGAGGACCAAGTGGGGGAGCAGAACAGATTCCTCGTGCAGCTGCAGGAAGCAGGTGGCTGTGGTGTCTCCCTGGAGCACACTCCAGCTCAGAGACAGGGAATGACCCTTAGCGGGCTGTCACAGACTGGGAAAGGAAGCTGGTGGGCTCAGCTCCCCAGAAGGCAAACAGTCACCCCCACTCTGTGCCAGTGTCCAGCAGCATCCATAGGGATGCCAGATGCCGGTGCTGCTCACCTTGTATGGCATTTCCCCAGTGTGTGACACCATGTGCAGCCGCAGCTCCATCCGCCGCTTGAACACCTCCGGGCATGCTGAGCACGTGAACACCTGCGAGACAGGGCGGCCTCAGCTTCCGCAGGACCCAGAGCCCAGCCTGGAGCCCGCGGCTCAGCCCCTGCCTGGCACTGTGACCCAGACACAGCGTTCAGCCTGCACCCACAGGACCCGCATCTTGCACAGTACAGAGTGTCCTGGCATGCTGGAACACACACAGTGAAGGTTGTGTGGCACATCGGGCACAAGCTGCTGCTGTCCTGGTCCCGGCCGTGGGGGTCCCAGCCACAGGGGCCCCGGCTATGGAATATGTGCCATGCAGTGCTGATAGGTGTGTGTTCAGAGGTAAGCATGGCCTAGGGCTCAGAAAAGGCTCCAGTTCCCTTCCTGATGACAGCTGCACTCCAGCCCAGTGGGGCAGCTCCTGGGAGTACCTGTTCTGATCGGTTCATGCAGTTCCTGGCTTCATGTTCCAGGAGATTCTCTTTTCTAAAGTAACATTTGCCACACTTGGAACACTCAAATGGCTTCTCTCCAGTATGTTTCCTGGGGGGACACAAATGGAGAACCCCATCACTGCCTGTCCAACAGCAGATGCACAGACAGGTGTGGGAGAACAGGGAAAGGTAAGGCAGGTTTTTGCCCAAGTCCCTCCAGTGCCACTATTCACATTCACTCTAAAGCTGTTTTTATGCCACTTTTGGGGCCCCTCAAAGCGTGGTAAGGCTGTCAGTGCCCACTGTGCTCCGTGGAATCTTGATTCTGCAGGGCCAGAATCAGGAGTAAAGTGAAACTTGAGACCACATGGAAGGGCTCTGCCCTGCTTTCAGAGATCCAGTTCGGAGATCCTCACAGAGCCCGGCTACGTGTTCCCCACAGCCCCTGAAATCCACCCCAGCCCGGGCTGATCTAAAAGCCCACAAGGACGATCTGCCATTGCCCACTTGCAGCCAGCACAGTCCCTGAGGAGCCCCCACTGCCGCCTTCCTGAGTCACAGCCCAGGACAGTCACTGCAGCTCTCAGATATGTTTCAGAGACATACAATCCCCCCCACAGGTCAGAGCACCCCCAAGGGCAGAGGGGACCCTTCTTTCCATCCCGGGGAATGGCATTGGGACCAGCTGGCAAAGGCGGGGCCGCCCTTTCCACCCCCGGGAAGGGGCTGAGCCGCGGGGGCGACGCATCCTCCCGCGCGCGCAAGGGGAAGTAGAAGTCGGAGCGTTTACCTGTTGTGCACTTTAAGGTAATATTTGCTGAGGAAGGTTTTATGACATGTAGGGCACTCGACCGGCACCGCTGTACCTTTTCTGCTCCCCGGCGCCTTTCCAGGAGCGGGGGGGCTCTTTCTGCTCCGCAGCGCCTTTTTCTCGGAGAGGGGCTCGGCGTCGCCGTCCCCCCGCCCGCCGCCGCCCTCCGCCGGGGCCGGGGGGGAGCCCTGCGAGGGAACAGCGGCGTCACCGCGCCGCCCCCGCCGCCAGGCCCCGGCTCCGCCGCCCCCTCCCGCCCCCTCACGCACCGCCTGCCCGCCGGGCGGCAGGGCCTGCCGCAGGCTCCGGGTGGGCGGCGGCGGCGGCGCGCGGCAGGGCCGCGGGCGGAAGGCGCGGCACAGCGCCACGGCGTCGGGCACGCCGAGCTGCTCGGCGGCCGCCAGCAGGCGGGCGCGGTTGTGCGCCGTGAGCGCCAGGCGCCCGGTGTAGAAGAAGTCGAGCAGCAGCTGGAAGGTGTCGGCGAGGCCGTCGGGCAGCGCCACGGGCCCGCCGGGGCCGCGCGCGCGGAAGAAGCGGGAGCAGCTGGCGAGCACCGGCCAGTGCGCGCGGAACTCGCGGCCGCCCACGCCGAGGGTCGCGTCGCAGAACTGGCCGGCTGCGCGCTGCCGGTTCAGCTCCCGCAGCACCCGCACGCTGTGCGCCGCCGCCGCCGCCATGGCCGCGCCCGGGCCGGCACCGGCACCGCCGGACGTGGCGTCACCCAGCGCCGGCAGTGACGCCCGTGTGTGTCTATCTGTGTGTGCCGTGCGGGGCTGTGCCTGTGTGCGGGGCTGTGCCTGTGTGCGGGGCTGTGCCTGTGTGCGGGGCTGGTTCTGGGGGGCTGGGGAGGGTGCGGGGCGAGCCCCGCGGCCCCGGGCCGGTGCCCGCAGCTCAGGCGGCGGCCCGGCGGCGCGTGTACGCCTGTATGGCCATCTGGAAGTGCTCGGCCGTGTTCTGCTGCGGCCGCAGCAGGATGACGAAGGCTCGCGGCACGAAGTATCCGCTCAGCAGCGCCCCGACCGTGCCCAGCGCCCCGAGCACCTTCGCCGCCGCCTCGGCCCGGCCGCGCAGCGTGCCCTGCGAGCAGAGCACGGCGGCCGAGCAGCCCAGGTGCAGCAGCAGGCTCACCGTCAGGCTCTTGGCCTCGTTGTAGCCGGCGGGCAGGTCCGTGCCCGCGTAGCTGAGCGCAAAGCAGCCCGCGCTGAGCAGCACCGTGTAGGCGATGGCGGCGCCGGCCGCGGTGCTCGGAGCGCACTCCAGCACCACCCGGTCGGGCTGCGCGCCGTAGTCCCGGAGCGGCACCGCGGGGCCGGCGGCCTCGGCGGCCAAGCACAGCACGGCCTGTACCGCCGTGCTGGCGGCCACAAACAGCACCGGGCCCTGGCGCCGCAGCCAAGCCTCGTAGAGCGCCGGGCAGCGCGAGTTCAGCTTGAAGATGCAGAGGATCTGGAAGGAGCGGGTCGCCACGCACGACAGGAACACGGTGAAGCTGATGGCGAAGAGTGGCAGCCGCAGCAGGCACGCCAGCCGCGTGGGCTCCCCGAAGTAACAGAAGAGGCTGCTGCAGGTGCAGGCCAGGGACCCCAACATGAGGAAGCACATCTTCCCGCCCGCAGACTTGACCACGGGTGTGGAGGCATTGAGGGCAAAGAGGACAGCCAGTGCCGCCATGAGCAGCATGAGGAGCACAGCCAGGGTCAGCAGCGCCCAGGAGAGGGGCTCGGACCAGGACAGGAACTCGACAGTACGGTTGAAACAGGCCTCACTCCCTGCCGGGGCCCACTCGTCCAGCCCACAGGCCTGGCAGCCGTAGGGGTCTGCAAAGGACATGGGGACCTCGCATACCTCGAACCCAGTAAGAGCTCTGCCCCAGTGCAGTGCCCGGCCTGCAGCCCCCCCAGGCTCTGCCCACCTCTCGTGTTCTGCTCATTCCCACAGACACTCACAGGCCTTGGGGAGCAGAGGGGGCTCTTTTCCCAAAAGACCCTCCACACCCCAAGTTTCACTCATGATTTTCCCAAAGTCAGTGGCTTGGGCTGTGTAGGGCCCACAGGACCTCGGCTGGGTTAGGCTCAGGGCTGTGGGTGAGAGGGGGCCCATGCATCCAGCAATAACCTGAGGTCTGCAGCCCCCTTGAATGGGACAGGACCTTGCTCCCACTGTTCCCGGAGCTGCCCCTCCCCGTAGCCCAAGAGCGGGCTGAGGGTGCCAAGGAACCAGCTGCCAGGAAGGGAGTTGTCACTGTGGCTGGTTACTCTGAGGTAGGAGATGACTGCTGTCTGTCCTGGGCAGGGCACATTTCCATATGCCAATTGCTGGTGACCACATGGTGCGGAAGCCCCAAGTGCCATCTGGGGCACAAAGGCAACCACTGCATCGAATTTTCCTGGCAGAGGATGCAGTGCAGGGAACAGCTGCTGGGCCGGACATTCCTGTCCCCTGGCCACAGGAGAAGGGGCTCTGTTTGCGCAGATGGGCTCACCTGTGGGCAACACTCCCTGGAAAGTGCAGGATGTGGGCTTTGCATACCCATCAGCGAGCAAATGGGAGCCAGACCACCGCCATCAGGTCAGCTCAGGCTTTACTGACCACAGGAGGGAAGAGGCTGGGAACGGGGAGAAGGGAGCAGGAGGCAGGATGCAAGCAGGCAAGGAAGGAGTGGGAGGAGCCCCCAGGGTGTACTGACCTGATCTGTTCAGGAAGGTGCCCAATGGACAGGCTACACAGCTGAAGCAGCACCAGTGGCGGCTCTGCTGCAGCCGCCTCTCTCCCGGCTGACAGGTCTCAGAGCACACCGAGGTGGGAGCCTGGCAGGAGAGCAGACAGGGTCAGCCTGTGAGCAGGGTGGGTAGCAGCACAGCTTGGGCCCAACAGCACTCTGGCACCCCCCACATCACCTCTGTCCACCCTCAGTTTTGCCCTGCTATGAGGAAACACCCCATAATTGCTGTCACTGGGACACAGCCAGCTCAGTAGTGAGGAATAAATAAGACCTGGGTGCAGAACAGTACCTGACCATCTTTTGTGTGCCACAGGACTTTGCCTGGGTCAATGCTCAGCCTGTCAGGGTTGACATGGAAGGTTCCTATCACATCAGAAGCCCAGTTTGAGCCACTCCAGTTCCACATGACGATGTCGTAGCCTTTACGAATATCCCCGTTGGCATCAAAAGAGACTCGGCTCTTGTACAAGGTGAAGTTTACCTGCTTGATCTTTTGTAGAAGCTGTAAAACAAAAGAGAGGAGCCCTTCCAATGGTGAGGCTCCTGCCATTGGAAGAGAGATGTGCTGGAGGATCCCTCCTCCATGCTACCTCTGCTCTCTAGACCCCCATCATCTGCAGGAAGTCCCATCCAGGTCTCTGTGAGGCCTGAGCACAATGGGAAAATCCTTCCCTGTTGGAAAGGATCCTCATGGATCCTCTTCCACAAGGAAGATCCTTCCTCGTGTTGCTCTTACCTGCCAGGGATAGACGGTGCCTTTGCTGCAAGCCCCTGAGGCACAGCCTAGCAGGTTGTGCAGGCCATGGGCCACAGCATACACGGCTGAGTACACATTGAAGGAGGCTTGAGCATCGTACACGTTGGAGGCAGCAGTCAGTGAGCGGCAGCCGGTGTAACGCTGGGTGCAGTCCAGCCTCGCGCTCCCCCCCAGTTCCCTGCCTGCCTCTGCGGTGCCAGCACACTTGGCAGCAGCACCTTCCTCCACCATCTTCCAACTTTCAAAGCGTTCCAGCATCACAGACTCTGGCTTTTCAACCGTCATCCCAATCACTGTGCCAATGGTCTGGATGCCAGGCACCTGCCAGATGGTTTGAGACAATGACCAGTCTTCAGAGCCCACCCACACCATGCCTGTGATGTTCTTCTGGATGACCACCTCGAAGAATGGGCGGGCGCTTCGGCTGTTGGAGAAGACGATGGTGACATTGACCCTGACGTCTGTGAAGACTCGGACCAGGTTGTGGAGCTCAGGGTTGCTGGCGTCCGAGTTGGCGGGAATGGTGCCTCGGTAGGCCACGCACACATTGCTTGCGGTCAGCAACTTGTGCAGGGCATCGAGGCCGGCCCTACCATAGGTGTTGTCGCTGCCCAGCAGCACCACCCAGGTCCAGCCAAAGTGCTGCAGCAGCAGGAAAATAGCCTTCACCTGCTGCCTGTCACTGGGGATGGTGCGCAGGAATGACGGGTACAGCCTCTTCAGGCTCAATGTCTCCACAGAGGCTTCGTAGCTGATCTGCAAAGTGAGCCAGGAGAAAGGGGGATGCACTGCCCCAGGCAGCAGCATCCCTGAGAGCTAATGGGCAGCCTGTCCTGGGGAGACTCAGAGCTGGGCAGGCAGTGGAGCCAGCACCAAGTGTGCTGTGGTAGGAAAAAACTGTGATGGATGGTGAGCCAACTGTGATTCCTGCCTGCCCCCAGACAGGGCCTGGGAAGGGACCCACACAGAAGGGCTGCATTTCCAGCTCTACCAGCCTCCTCAACTCTGAGTCCATTCTCTCTCAAACCCTCAGTGCTCAGGATCCCTATTCTTCATCAGCTGCAGGAGCTGTGCTTACCTCTGGTACGAGGAAGATACCGAGGATGGCAGCTGTGGTGAGGGCTAGCTGGGTGCTGTCGGGGCCGATGACGGCAACAGCCTGGGGCTCATAGTGTTGGAAGGCAGGGAGCAGCTGGACACCCTGCCCGCCTTTGCGGGCGAGGGCATGCAGGGTGGCGTGGAGGTTGGCAGGCTCAGAGCAGGTGTCGAGGATGTCGTAGCCCAGAGTGATGTTCGGGAGTAGCGTGCTGGAGTTGTTGATCTCCTCTATGGTGAAGCGCAGGGCCTGGGACAGGCAGTAGCCGTGGCTTTTGAAGACTGCAGCGCTGCGGAACCGAGAGTGGTTGTTAGGGAGGACCGACCGCGGCTGGGGGAGCGGGCGGCGCGGGCACTCACTCATCGCAGCCGCGCACCAGCGGGCGGGCGGCGCGGGGCTCTGCGGCGTGCAGCGGGAACAGCCCGGCCAGGCGGTGATCGCCGCGGAGGGTGAGGGCGGCGGCGGCGGCGGCGGCCGCGCACAGGCAGAGGCGGAGCGGGGCGAGGGGCGGCATGGCGGGGCGGGGCAGCCCCGGCCGGGCGGCTCTTAACGGGGCGGCAGGCGGGGCCTGGCGCCGGGCGGGCGGTGCCGGCCGTGGGGCGGCCCCGGGAGGCGGAGGAGGCTCAGCGGCCATGCCTGCGCGGCGCAGCCGCCCGCGCCGGGCCCTGGCCCGCACTCCGGCCCGCGGGGCCCGGACGGAGACGGCTTGGCGGGAGTTCGCCGCCTCCTTCGCCCGCGCCGGGATGGTACCGCCGGCCGAGCCGGGGTTGGCGGCCGTGGAGGCGGCGGAGGGCACGGCCGTGCTGCTGCTGGCGCCGCGGCAGGTGAGCATCGCCCGCGCCGCGCCGGCCGCGCCGTGCGCCGCACCGCCTGACCGCCCGTTCTGTCCCCGCAGGCGCTGACCTTCACCGGCAAGTGCCGCCTGCGCTGCCTGTACGGCGCCGTCCGCCTGCTGGGCTTTGCCGTGGCCTCGCACCACCCGGGCCTGCCGGTGTTCTCGCCGGCCACGCACTGCGCGCTCAGCCTGGAGGCGCTGCCCGGCGCGCGCCCGCTCGCCGCCCTCCGCCAGCTGCGCGCGGCCGCCCGCGCCGCCATGCGCGCGCACCGCGTCCGCCGCCGTGAGTGCGGGACCGGGCGGGCGGGCGGGCGCCATTTTGCGGGCGGCGCGGTGCGGGGAGCGGCCATTTTGTGCGCGGGGCGTTGCGGGGCAGGCGGGCTGAGAGCTCGGGGTGATGGCGGCGCTCGCCCGTTGCAGAGGCGCGGGTGAAGCTGATGGCGCGTTTCTCGTCCGATTGCGCCGTGGTGCTGCTGGAGCACTTGGACACGCCGGTGACGCGGTTCCTGCTGAGCCACTCGCCCCTGTCGCGGCTCTTCGAGCCCCAGGTGAGACCCCGCGGGCGGAGAGGTGCCCTGCGGGCGCCCCTGGCGCCGTTCAGCGCTGTGGCACCCGCGCTGAGCGCTCACCCTCTCGCCTAGAAAAAGAGGAATCCAGCTTCACGCCGGAGGATGCGGTCCTGGCTTCCGTGGGCATCGTGAAGTGCAGCCCCGACCGCGGGCTGCTGGTGTCGGAGAGCATGTACCTGGCACTGGACGAACTGATCCAGGCCTGCTGTGGTGAGTAAGGCACTTGGCCAGGCTGGGGTCTTGGTAGCCTGAAGAAAAAAAGTCCGTGAGGCTTTTCATGAATTAAAATTAAGGTATGTGTCCTGCCTGGCACGCTCTGATTTAAGGTTGTGTTTTTCTCTGAAGAGCAGGATGCTCGAGCTGGACATCACCTGGGCTGGGTCAGAGTGATGCCAGCATTTGTCTGATTCACACCGTGCTTGTCTTTCCAGCGGAAGATGAAGGTGTTCCTGTGGTGCTGGTATGTGGCCCAAAAAACACTGGAAAATCGACATTCAACAGATACCTAATTAACCTATTATTGAATCGGTGAGTCCATGTTCTGCAAGCTTTTAAGAGCTGCATGGGATTTAGGAGAAGGAAAAATATGTCTGACAGGACTCTTAGATGAGCCGTCAGGCCTGGAAGATGGATAGCTTTTAAACACAAAGGGGTAGACACATACATGGATTCTCTTCCTGCAGCCTTCCTGCAGTCGAGTACATGGAATGTGACATAGGCCAGCCGGAATTCACACCGCCAGGGTGCGTGTCCCTGAGCAGCATCACGGAGCCCGTGCTGGGTATGTGTTCCACTACTCCTGTGGTTACCAGAGACCTGTTCCATTTCCAAAATGAACAGGGTGTTCTGGACAGAGGCTGCTTGAGGGGAAGCTGCTGCCACAGATGTCAGAGGTTCCTAGAGAGAATAAACCAAGGGATGTTCAAGTTTTCTTGTAGGGGCGTCTAAGCTCCCCAAGTAACACAGAGCCATTCTCCTGCTCCTTTTGTCTCTTTTAAAGAGAGATGGCGTCTACAGGTGGTAGAGCAGGCTGAGGCATGTCAAAGGGGATGTTCAGCCTTTCAGGTTTGAAAGGTCTCTTTGGGAAAATCTGTATTCACAAGTGGAACTCACTGAGAAGTTCAAAGTGGATCCACATAGGTTCAGGGCTGTTGTGATGAGCGGGGAAAAAACCATTGCCCAGGAAACTGCTGGTGTTTGCGGTCTCCTGGATTGAGGTCACTGTCTAAAAGGACGTGGCCAGACTGGTTTGCTTTTCAGGCAGTTTGTAGATTTTTAAGTGTGTAACCAGTGATTTCAAGCAAGGAAACAAACCCCAAACTAACCCAAAACAAACAGAACTCTCTCTCAGAGTCTTGCAAATGACAGACTAGTTTCTCCCTAAGTGCAGGCTGTGTAAGAAAGACTGTTGACAGGTGGGGAGAGGACAGGTTATTTCAGGAGGGGTGACATGTGGGTGCTACAGAAATGGGAGTGTTTTGATTTGCCTTGATGAAGGCACTAGAGGTTCAGGGCTCTTTTTGCCAGGTCCCCCCTTCACTCACCAGCAGACGCCCCGTAAGATGGTGTATTATGGCCAGACTAGCTGTGAGCAAGACACAGAGAGGTACCTTGATGTCATGAAGTACGTGTTCAGCTGCTACAAGAAGGAAGTGCCTCTAATCATCAACACCATGGGCTGGGTGAAAGGTAAATGGGATCTATCCTTCTCTCAAAGAGGGGTGGGAAGGAGGTAATGATGGTAGTGGTGCAGCACCACACAGAACCAGAACCTGCAGCGTGCCTGAGCTGGTGCTGGTGTGTGACCTGTTGAAATAGCAGCAGCAACTGTGTGTTCTCTGCGCTCTTGAAGGCGAGGGGCTGCTGTTGCTCATCGATATCATCCGTCTACTGTCGCCCAGCCATGTTGTTCAGATGGACGTGTGCGACTGGAAGGCAATGGCCCCGCTCACCCCCGAGCACATCCACCTTCGTGCCGGGCTGCACACCAAGGGCAAGCAGCAGCCTAAGTGCAAGCAGCTGGATGTGGGTGCTGCAGAGAGCTGGAAGTGCTCTGAAGGGGAGGATGCGTCAGTTCCACAGTACAAGTTGCTGTATGTCCATCCAGAATTCCCTCGGGCGGGAGTCGCAGGTGAAGCGTAAGTAGAACATTGAGTGCTGTGGGGAGTCTGTGAGCTGAACAAAACCACATGTTGTCTTTAACTTAGGACTCTTCTTACAGGCGAGTGCACAGCGGCATCCTGCGTGACATGTCCATCCTGGGATACCTAGGACACCTGCAGTACCCAGACATTGGGGCGGTGCTCCCGCTGCACAGCCTGGTGCCATATCAGGTAAGGGAGCCTTATGGGAAGGCTTGGGTATGGTGCAGAAAGCCTGGTTACAGTGGTGAACAGTTCTGCTCCTACTGCAGATGTTTCTCAAAGAGGAATAAACACTCTGCAATATGCGAACAGATAACAGCTGTATTCGGGATGACAGAAGTGAAGCTTCTGTCGAGGTGCTGGTGTGACACGTGTGTGCAGATGGCACATGTGTAATGTGTGTTCTGTCTGTGCAGAAGCTGCTGTGTGTGCCTGCCCGTGGGTGTGGGGTGGGAGCATGCAGGATCTGTGTCCTCAGGGTCTTACCTCTGAATTTGAACTCAGTTGATGTGGAACCCACAGCAGTTTTTCTTCCCTCTTGTCACCCCCCCACAGGTGCCTTTCAGTGCTGTCGCGCTCAGAGTTATTCACACAGATGTTGCTCCCACCAACATCATGTATGCAGTGAATGCCAGCTGGGTTGGGCTCTGCTGCATTCCAGATGAAGTCAGGTGCCAGACCGACGGGCCAGTCCTGCTGACACAGACACCAGTCTGCGACTGCCTGGGCTTTGGTGAGCGCGCTGGAGCTGTGCTCTCACCTGCTGTGTTTAGGCAGATGGGTTGCACAGTGACAGAACTGCTTACTCTCCCAAAAACAGCTGCAGAAGTGGGATGAGATACAGGAGTAGTGGTGGTGTTGGGAGCTCTGCTGTAAGTCTTGGCTTTGGTTACTGTGCGGTAACAGCTGTGAGGAATGTCACTGCGTGGCGCCGCTCAGAGCTTCTCAGAACTCCCCAGTTGACCCAGTTTCTGGGTTCGCGTTTGCAGAAGCAGATTCTATGTGGCTTATGCAAAATTCCTGAAGTTGCCTAAGTTTCCTTCTACAGCTTGATTTACTGTTCAGTTTGAGTTTGGAGTTTGGTTCTCGAGTGTCTGTAGGGATGTGCCGATGAGCAGGGATACCTGATGACTGAACTTTGCATATGTTCTTTTGTTCAGGAATTGTTCGAGGGGTTGATATGGAGAAGAAGCTTTACCACATCTTGACACCAGTGCCTCCGGAGAACCTGAGACTAGTGAATTGTCTCCTCCTTGGGAACATTGCTATCCCTAACTGTGTGCTTGTGGGCCAGGTAGGAGCCTGTGGGAGGGGTGGGAGCTGTCTGAGCTTTGGCTGGCTGGCAGATTTTCCAGTTTCTTATTCCTGAGGCGGATGCGTGCCGGGAGATGCCTGGGCATCAGCAGATGCTTATCACTTTAGGAGATTGTCCTTAAGCACGGAAACCTACAGAGAACAGAACGTTCCACTCGCGTTTTAGATGCCAGAGGGGGGTTTGGTGATCACTGAGTCCTTAACACCATCAGTTCTGTCAGCCTGGGGAGGGAAGTGCTTCCCCCTCTGCTGAAGCTATGGGCTGCTAAAGTTGTTTCTCGTTTTATTTTTCTGGTTTTCAGCAAGGAATTGAGGGAGAGATTCCATACGTCACGTCTGATTACAACTACAGCATCCTGGGCGCTGGGAAGCTGAGGAAAAAGAAGCATTTCAAGAGGAAGGAGTTCACCTTTGAGTGCGATTACACCTGAATCCTTGGGGCCCTTGGGCCAAGTTTTGTTTGTGTGGACTGGGTAGAGAGCCCGGTGTGGTCACAGGAGCCCTGGGTCCTGCAGAGGCCCCGGGCAGGTGGCCAGGTAGATGCCACAGCAGGTCTGGCTTTAATAATGTTTTGTATGTTTGGTTTGTATTTTAGCGTTTTGTAATAAATATCTACGGAAAGCAGCGGGTTGGTTTGGATTTTTTCCCTGGC